AACAAATTCTCATGGTCAACTCTGTTGATGTCTGTCATGTTTCCTATCATCTAGGCACTTTCTGAACTGATTAAGACTTATTATTTTTAATTTTTTTTAAAAATTAGTATAGGGGATCTAACTCATGACCATGTACTGGCAAGGTAGGCGCTTTTGCTGCTGAGCTAAATCCCCAGCCCTAGACTGTTTTTAATAACTAAAAACTACAAGATTTACCAAGGGCTAGACACAGAAACCCTCCTCTCCAATTTTAAGAATAGCAGGTCTAGACTCACTGCTTCTGAAGGACCCTCTCAGCCATGGAATTTAGAGACTCCTCCAGGTGATAAACATTTTGCTTAAGTGTGCTAGATCCCAGTCTGTTTCTTGCTTAGTATCTGGTGATTTCATCTCCCATTATGAGGGCTGTGGTTCCCAGTGCTGTGGAACTGTGTACTTTTAATACCAAAATGACAGGAATTAGGACTGGGGCCCTCTTTTTTCATGAGTTTGGGAAACCTTGTTTTTCCCAGAATACCAGTACACTTGGGGAAAAACATGAGTTACAGAGTTCAGGGTTTGCTCCAATAAAGACAGCCTGTGGAGCACAAGGGGTGAGATCATTTATATAGGCAAACTAAGTTTCCAGTGGGGAGACTAAATATTGGTTGAGAGGGTAAGAGGCATTTTGTACACACACTATTGGATTACAACTGATTTAAAATGGGGAGCACTTCATTGGGAAATTTACAGACTGAATACAAAGTCCAGAGCCATAATGTTTCCCAAAATGAGGGACTTAGGACCCTGTTCTCATCAGTAAGAAGAACCAGAATCAAGTTTTGAGGTGTTTACTGTCTGGGATCCACATTAGCTATACATATAAACAGCCTTAGAGCCCACAGTTTTGGAGTTTGACTTATAGTCCACTTAGCTGGAGTCTCTGATTTTGTGGGCTCGAAGTGGGAGTAATGAATCCAATGGTTCTTTTTGGCAAAGTTGATGGCCATGGAAGGACTCAAGTGACTGGATAGGGTCCTTTCCAGTGGCGCCTAGAGAAGTGTGGTGTCCCCTTCTGGTATAAATTTAATCACCAAGTTGAGCTGCCAGGGTTTCATCAGGTCTCTCAGGAATGGTCTTGTGGCCCCAGAACCAGCAGTGAATAGAGTTCAGAAGGGGCTAGAGAGCCTGTGAGGACTTAAAAAGTTCTCCATTAGTGATAGCAACCAACTTATCATCATGGACATGGGGAATCAATGAGGACAGTTGGCATCTAAGGCTCCAAAAGGAGTAATATCCAGGAGGTAGGGGGTACACCTAACATGCAGTAGGGCAAAAGGAAAGAGACACCCAGTTTTTGCCAGTCTCAAGAGCCAATTTTTAAATAGCAATTTTATTGGTCTTGTTTATCATCTCTACATGGCTTCAATTTTGAGGCAAGTAGGAACAATGTAATTTCCAATTGATTTGTAAATGTGCAGCTAAATTTTGAGTGATCTGAGCTATGAAAGCTGGGCCATTGTCAGACCCCAGGGAAGTGGGCAAACCGAATCAAGGCACTATCTCATAGTGGAGTTTCTTAGCTATGACAAGAGTTGATTCAGTCTGAGCGGCACAACCTTCAGTCCACTGGTGACTGTGTCTATGAGAACTGAGAGATATGTATGTTCCCCTCTTCCTGGGCCCATTTTGGCAAAGTCTATGTCTCAGTAGTCTCTAGGGTTAAGTTCTCATTGTCTCTTTTGTACATCAGTGGTGGCCAGCTTAGGGTTCATTTGTGGGCATTTTTAGCTGATCTCTATGGTCAGGCAAGATAACTTGTCCAGCTTGGTTCCCTCAAGTGAGTGGCCCAGTGAGTCTCCAGGATGAGCTTGTAGCCCAATGATCTGTCAGTCTTGCAGAGAAAGTTGGGGTTCTAGGCTCTTGGTTGGTCTCACATCTGAATCTGAATGCGATGTAACATGGGTATGGGGAGAGCTGGGAGGAGTGTTATAGGTTTCTCTGATTTTAGTGTCATCTCAAGGAGGGCATTTTCATGAGGTATTTGGGGTCTTCTCACTGGTACCTCAAACAGTGTTTAATGACAACCTTTTGGAACAACCAAATGGCAGCGAGGTCTAAGATCTTGGGGGCATTCTTTTTTTTTTTTTTTTTGTGTCTTTTTGAGACAGGGTCTCACTATGCAGTTCAGACTGGCCTTGAGCTCACTTTGTAGCCCAGGCTGGTCTTGAAATCCCAATGACCCTCCTGCCTTAGCCTCCGCAGTGCTGGGATTAATGGCATGAGCCACCACACCTGGCTCTTGGGGGCATTCTTAATCTTTGTTCCTGCTGAGTTTAATAGCCCTCTTTCCTGATAAATGACCCCATGCATATGGATGGTGGCAAGGGTGTACCCTTTCTCCTCATCTTAGGGCTTGAGTAAGGGCTATCAGTTTGTCTGCCAAGATGAAGTTCCCAAACCTAAAGCTTGGGCCCCTAGTACCTCAGTCTCAGTAGTCACCACTCTTCCTGCCACCTGAGTACCTTGGTTGAGGTAACTGCTGCCATCTTTGAGAAGGATGGCTTCAGGCTGGACAAGCAGGACCTCTGTCAGGTAAATTCACAGGTTTGAAACTGAGTCAATAATGTCCAAACAATTATGTATCCTCATTGGGTGATCATTATCTGGCAGGAGAGTCACTGGATTGAGAGCAGAGGTAGACAGGAACTCGATGTAGGGAAAGCTTGTTCCTTTAGCTCAGTCCAGGTCTCAAGTCCTGTGGATCTTCTTGGTAGCTGAAGAACTTTTGGGCTATCTTCACTTACTCTGAGAGTTTTTTACCTTTAAATCTTTTTACTCTTTGAAGCTTTTTTCTGATATTAGGGTGCTACAGGGAGACAAATATGATAATTGGGACACATCTATTCTCAGGTGCCTATAAAGGTCCTTAGGAGGTGCTCCAAGAATGTGGATGGAGCATTGTGAGAGCCCTAACTTTCCTCTGTTTAGAAAGATTAGTTGGATTCCGTGTGGCTGCTTTTAAAAGCACCCAAATGAGTCTGCTGAAAACATAGGAGAGCCTCCCTACTTCGGAATAGGAGAAGCTGTTGGAAGCTCTTGGGGGGGGGGGGGAAACAGGGTCTCAGAATGGAAGCCCAGAGAAGGGGCAATGCAGTGGGACTGGCTTGTGCCAGCCAGGGAAGCCATGCTGGTGACATATTGTTGGCCCTGGCAAGCTGGAAGCCCCCATTGCCCCTGCATGCAGCATGGATTTTGGCTTTGGCTCAATTCTGACTCTTCTCAGGTCTCCCCTGTGTGGTTGCTTGTGTTGCTGCTGCTGGGCCAGGAGTCCCTGGGCAGGAACCATTTAGGGCATTGTTCTCAGGCTCATTACACACCATTGTTGAAGGACCAAGGGAGCTCTGAAGTAATTTCTGCTGTGGGAGCCTGGAGACATCTGTGACTCAGATTTCAGGGTTCAGGGACACACAGGGAGTTTGGGGCCTGCAGATGGAGACAAGTAAGCTCTTTCCCTGGGGGACCAGCTGGATGGGTGCCCAAGGGGGTGGAGGCAGAGGAACCTGCAGTGGCAGTGCTATTGTTTTTCAGAGATTTGAGATAGACCTGCTAATACAAAGAGAGATAGATTCCCTTTCTGAGGCCATGAGACCCTGAAAGCAGGCCATTTAAATTCACAAAATGTTTGGAGCTTCCCTAGATAAACAGGTTTGCCATAGGAAGAGATTTTTCAACAAAATTCCTGAAAATGATTAAGAATGCATTGCAGGGGCAAAAGAGAAGCAGAAGCAGACTGACACAGCTGACAATAACAAACACTAAGCCAGTGACAAACAAGATTTACAAAACAAAGACAGAGACCAACAGACTGACACTGAAAACCAGTTTGATCTGATGACCAACAAGTCCCAGCCAACATCTCAGTCTGGATCAGTCTCAGAGACTTGAATGTTGCATCCAGCATCTCCAAAAACTCCCAAGGACACCCAACAAAAACCTAAAATAGCCTTACCTGTAAGGATCTGGACAGCTGGATCCGAATTAGTGTTCAGGGTTTTGATTTGAGTTTCTGTTTGCAGTGAAGATTCCTTGGCGGGTGAGAAACATCTCTAGGCAGTTCCCTCTTTGAGTAATTCACATCAAAGAAAGGCTTGGAGCTTGTAAATCCCTATTGGGGAATCCATCCCAAATGAGCCCCCAAATGAAGAGAGTTCAGAAACAATATAGGAATCCAACTAGACAAATTGATAAATTTGGAATTTAATTAGGAGAGCTCCTCAGCCACTCACGTGGACTCATTTTAGTGTCTTGCTGAATGGTCCTGAACTGGAAAATTACACAACTTTTAAACAGATAATCAAAAAAATCATCCTGTTGGAAACAATTTAGTTTGAATCTTACATTCATTTCTGGAAGACACCAGTACCTGCTTCTTGTTAACTTTTTTATCCTTAACTATTTTTTCCTGTGAATACAGCTCATTCTGCTTTACTCATGGACTTACACTGTGAGCGACTTTCCATTTTCCTGGGTCAAAAACAGGGCACTAGTTAAATGCAGGCTCAAGATGGTGTCAGTTACACCAAGGTACAAAAGATCACATCCTTTAATTTCTGCATTCACAGCTATAAAAGTTGCATATGAGAAATACTCTGAGGTTTGGAAAAGATGATTTTTTCCTATTCAAATTGGAATAAACTGTTATGGTTTTTGTTTCACATGTCAGATTTTAGAACTTAGTTTTTCTCTGTTGTTAATATCTGCAGTTTCTGATGCAAACAATTTTTTTTCAGACTTATAGACAATAGAGTACTGTGGATGAATTACCTACATGTAAAATACAATTTCTTTCAATCAAAAGGTCAAATTGAATTCCTGAAAACCAAATATAACAAAATATTTAGAAACAGAAGATAAAAAGAAGCAAGGAAAACAGGCAAGCACTTTCCATTGTCACTGGGAGTCTGCACCCACCTATGAACCTTGGGACTGTGCCTGGTAGTGCTGCTTACATTAGAGAGATGGAACCTGAGCAGTTTGGCACCCAGAAGCCAAGGTCCACAGTCATGACCTTCCGGCCAACCATGGAGGAGTTTGCAAATTTCAGCAAATACATTGCCTACATGGAATCCCAGGGTGCTCATAAAGCTGGCCTAGCCAAGGTCATTCCTCCCAAGGAATGGAGAGCCAGAGCATCTTATGACAATATCAGTGACCTCTTAATAGCCACTCCTCTGCAGCAGGTGGTCTCTGGACAGGCAGGTGTGTTCACTCAATTCCATAAAAGGAAGAAAGCCATGACAGTGCAGAAGTTCAAGCATCTGGCCAACAGTGCAAAGTACCAGGCTCCTCCGCACCAGAGTTTTGAAGATTTGGAGAGAAAGTACTGGAAGAATCACCTCTGTGGTTCCCCAATTTATGGTGCTGACATCAGTGGCTCTTTGTTTGATGAAAACACAAAGCAGTGGAACCTTGGGCACCTGGGAACCATTCTGGATCTGTTGGAGGAGGAGTGTGGAGTTGTCATCCAGGGTGTCAACACACCCTACCTCTACTTTGGCATGTGGAAGACCACATTTGCGTGGCACACGGAGGACATGGACCTCTACAGCATCAACTACCTGCACTTTGGGGAGCCCAAAACATGGTATGCAGTGCCCCCAGAGCATGGCCAACGCCTGGAGAGGCTGGCCAGGGAGCTTTTCCCAGGCAGTTCCCGAGTCTGCAGAGCATTCCTGAGGCACAAGGTGGCTCTCATCTCACCCACAGTGCTCAGGAACAATGGGATCCCCTTTAACTGCATGACTCAGGAGGCTGGGGAGTTCATGGTGACATTTCCCTATAGCTATCATGCTGGCTTCAACCACGGCTTCAACTGTGCAGAGGCCATCAATTTTGCCACCCCTCGGTGGATTGATTATGGTAAAGTGGCTTCTCAGTGCACCTGTGGGGAGGTGAAGGTCAGCTTTTCCATGGATGCATTTGTGCGCATCCTGCAACCTGAGCGCTATGAGTTGTGGAAATGTGGACAAAATGTGGTCACTGTGGAACACACTGGATGCAGGGTGCCTGTTAGGCAGGAGCTGATCTCGGGGAGGAAAGTGCGCTTTCATGGGAAGAGATCTAACTCCCAACAGAGGCACCTGCCTAGTGGGGAAGGCTTGAGTCTCAGTGATACAGAGGACCCAGGGCACAGGCACAGCACTGTTTTGCCTCCTGTGAAGAGACACTGTTCCTCCTCCAACAGTGAATTGCTTATCAACAGCTACGAGAGACCCACCCAGATCCAGTCCTTTACTCCTTCTGCTCTGCTCTCCTCAGATTTCCTTCCCTCAACAGGCAAAAGGTGCAGAGGTCGTCCTCCTCACAGATTGAAGGCTCAGGGCTCCACAATGCTGCCTGAGACTCAAGGACTCCCTATGGTGGGCACAGGGCATGCAGTTCCTAGTTCACAGGATCAGCCCTTGCTTGAAGAGGAAGCTTCAGTGGAGGAGCCCATGTCTGTGAGCACTGGGTTACAGGTTCCAGGGCAGCCTTCTGGCTGTTGTTGTGCCCCTGATCTGCAATTCCTGGGTTCCCCACTAGACCCTCAGAATCCTATGCACCCTGGTTCCTGCTTGCAGTCCCTGGACAGCATTCCAACTGATCTTCCTGAAGTTTCCTTACTGACTGCTCCTAACATAGATGTGCCATTGGGAAAGTTCTCCAGGAAAACTGCTGGCAACAGCATCAACCCTGGAAACCTGGCTAAAGTGGAAAGGATGGAGCACTCTTATTCCTCTCCAATCCTGGATTCACCAGATGTTGCCAGAAACCTTTTGCTACTGACTCACTTCCACTGGATGTAATGCTACACAAAGCCAACCCAGGAACTGCCTATGTTCACTAATAAAGAACACACACACTTCTCTCTTTGTATGACTTTGAAACAGGTTGCCAGTGTGGCACTGTCTCTTTCAGTGTGGTTTATTCCCATGAACTAATGCAGAAATTTTCTCCTTAAAATTGTATGATAGCCAGGGGTTTAGCTCAGTGGCACAAGTGCTTGCCTCATAAGCGCAAGGTCATGAGTTAGATCCCTGCCCCCCCCAAAAGTAAGATAATGCTATTTAGACGGAAGATAATTAATGTATTTTATTTTAGATGTGAGCGCTTTTAGAGGTGACCAGTTAGATTAGGCCACTATGCCATGAGTCCCATTGATTGTGTCCTTGTGCTATAGAGGAAAACACAGCATATAGAGGTACACATGCACATCGTGTGCATGCACACACAGTCATAAAGACACACGCACATACACACACTTGATGTGTTAAAGCAATCAGTGACCTTACAGAAGACTGCTTCTTGCAATTTAGACTTCCAGTCTCCAAAACTGCAATCCAAAAGAAACAGCTTTTTTTGCATATAAAATAGCCCAACTCAGGTGTTTTTGTAGTCACAAAGTCTAATAAACTCAGGGTACTTGGAAGGTATCAGTCATATCACAGGTGTGGCCTGAGCCGGTCCTCAGTGAATGTTGATGTGTTTTTCAGGATGTCTGAGGCTTTTTCATTTTATGATAGCTGAGGCTCCTAGTGGAAGCCCCTCCTCATAGGATGAGAGGGGATGAGGGAGGGCCATCCTGTAACTCCGCATATTGCTGAGTGTGCCTGTGGCTGTGGACTAGATGCCAGGGACACCTCTTCTTTACTTTGTCACCCTCAGGACACTTCCCCTGCCGTGCTGTGGTTCAGCTCACACTATCAATGGGGCTCACACTGATGGATACTGAGGATCTGGGAAAACCTCTGATCTCACTCATTCTGGCTTCCACTCAGCCTTTCCACGCTCTGTGAGACTCAACAGAGCTTCGCAGTCCTGCAGTGTTTACACATGCGAACTCTTAGACCCCAGGATCCAGTGCTCATGGGGCAGCTAGAGGTTTGATCAGCCGAATCTGGCTGGAAGTTCTGACTTTAGAGACATTTTATCTCCTTAGTTATTTTACTAAGTGTGTTATTGTGGATGTGGATGCTGCTTAGTGGTAGAACCTAGGCTCAATCCCTAGCATCACCAAGAATAAATAATCAAAATAGGACTCCTGTCTGTATCTGAAATGTAAAATGGAATAATACTTAAACATATGTAAAAGCAAATTTGTGTAAAAAACGATACATGTAAAACAAAGTGTGTCTAAGGGGCTGAGGATTTAGCTCAGCGGCATAAGCACCTGCCTTGCAAGCAGGCAGTAATGAGTTCGATCCCTGGTACCAATAAAACAAACAAACAAACAAAAAACGAAAGTGTGTCTAAAAGATTGCAAAGTTGCAAAATGAACTAAACCTTACCTTAGAAGAACCAACCAGGAATGATGAGTCTTAGTGTAAGGCCAGCTGAATGGGAAATTTTGCAGTGGGACTATACCTATCAGGAAACCTGCAACATATCTACATTTAGCTTTAAATATTTTTATGGGGGTAAAGCATAAGTAACATAAAATTTATTGTTTTGTATTGGTATAATTTAATGACTTACTGATCCTGTACAGGTTTGAAATTTGACAGAATGGAACTCTGTGCAATAAACACTGACTCCCAATTTTGCTGTGTCTCATTTACTGGTGTCCATAATTTTCTTTGAGTGACTGATTAATTTCACTGTTGTGCACCTCACACACGTGGCATAATACATTTAGCTCTTTGTCTGTGGTTTCTTTCAGTTAGTACAATGTGCTGAGGTTCTTTGTTTTAGGATTTCTTTACCTTTCAGGGCTAAAGAATACTGCATACTAGGGAAAGGCTACATTTTCTGTATCCATTCATCCTTTGGTGGACCTTTGCTTTCTCCCCACCTTTGGGTATTGTGCATGACTGTAGCTATGGTGCACAGTGCTTAGAACAGCCAATGTACGAATACTTTTGCAATTCTTTGCTTAAAGTCTTTTAAGTCAGTTTTCACTTTAGATTTCATAGTCTTCATTGGACATCATTTGAATTTCTTTTCATGTACCTTAAAAACAGTTATAAATGTCTTATATTGATTTTAATGCATATTGTCTTCATTAAAATTATAATTCTATTAAAGCTAAATTAAAATTCAAAGAAGAGTGACCGTGCAATTCTATTTGAACTTTGGGAGCTGCTAAGCCCATGGTAGCCTTGCAGTAACAAGGAATAAACTGTGTCCTAAGTTACTGAGACCTTGAGGCTTTTCCTCCTTTAGTGAAAACCTTACTGCTGCTGCCAGGCAGTAGGAGCCCAGCCTTCCCCTGTTAGCACTCTCAGATGCAGAGAGCCGCCTCCACCAAGACTCTTCCCATTTGGCCCATACCTAATGGCTGCTCAGTGCTGGGGCACCAAAGCTGGGCTATGTCTGCTCACTAGGGAAAACTCTGAATGGTCATTTCCCATCCACAGCTCCCTGCAGCACTGCCAGAGACTATCTTGGAGGCTGAACCCAGTTCAGCTTTCCCCTCTGCGTAGATCTGATTCCTGGTCCTCCTTTTCCCTCACAGAATATGTCATCAAATATCTTTTCACATAGAAATAACATTGTTGGGCTGCCGTTATGCTTCACTTTTCTAGTGGCAGCAGGATGGGTTTCTATTCTCGTCCCATTAGTGCTGCAGGAAAATTTTGCTTTTCCTCCTTAGATTTTGCTGGGGTTCTTCAGTCTTCCTAATTTACCTCCTGGAAAGTAGCCTCTCACTGTATTTTCCCATGTTAGTGATCCTGCACATCTCTTCCAATCTGTGGCTTTTCCGATTTCCCTTTCTGTGAATTGATGTTTCTAAGTCTCCCCCAATGTTTTGGTTGCTAATTTTAAAAATTAATCCATAAATATTTTTTGACACAAACTCGTTATCTCTTTTATGAATGATGAAATACTATTCTAGACTCTTTCTTTTTTGTGGTTGGGCTCTGTACAGGAATCAAGCTTAAAGCATCTGTCACTGTCACAACACCTTCTCTGCTGTGTCCCCACAGTCTTTTGGACCAACATTGGTTGACATGGAGAATCTGACTGAGATTTCTTCCTTCCTTTCAAACCTGTAGTGAGCTCTGAGTCACTGACCCGAGCTACACTGGTCAGCCTTGAAGAGACCCAGGGTACCTGAGAGCCTGTCACTGTGATGCATCCTGCTTCCCAGCCCCCCACCGCCCATTCCTCATGTGGAAATTAGACCATTTGGCCAGTTAAGTGTGATCATCAGCTCTGGTTCAGAGCGTTTTGTAAATTTATTGAGGTTTAATAAATACTTAATTTGTACTGCGTATCTTCAAAACAAAGAAAGAGAAATCTCTAAAATACAGTTTTTAAAATGAAAACTATAGAAGTAAACACTGATTTAAAAAGACTGAGAGAAATCATGATGAGTGAGAGTAGTGAGATAGAAAAAATTAATTATATGATTAAGTGACCATGATGTTGACATGAATTTTTGAGAGAAAAGCCCTTCATACAGTGAAACTGCAGGTGACAAACCGTATACGTGGCTTTGCCAATTTGTTTAAACTTCAAAGTGTGTTACTCTGTGAGGATATCAGGGTCTCATCTAGAATGATGTTTACCTGATTTAAATGTCTCCAAGAATGAGAAGCTGAGAACATGTTTTCCATCGTGTGAATAAGAAATGTTTCCTGCTTTCTCCTAAGTGGAGGAAAGTAAGACTTGCTATAAGGTGGTGAAGTGAGGAATATGTTAATTAGGTTGATGGTAGGGACTGTTTGGTAACATATATGTATCTCAAAATACTCTGTATGCCTTAAGTATACATGATTTAGCTTACATATTATACTCAAGAAAAGATAAAAAAGGACATGAGAAAAACTAGAATATTCATATTCAAAGAAAAAAAGTATTGAAAAAAGAATTGGCAACACAACCAGGAAAATACAAACAAAAGAACCAGAAGCCAATTGATCAGAGAGATTAGAATTGAGACCAAAAGTACCTATTTCTCAACTAAGGACTGAATTTTACAATGAAAATGTAATAGTCATAAATATCTTTGAAAGTTTGTGAAGCATAAATTATATAGATTAAGTACAAGTTGGAAGCAATGTATTACAGCAGAAGAATCCATATCACCTAGGAAAGAAAACAATAGATATGTAGTTCAAAATGACATCAAAAATGTAAACTGTTCACAGTAGTCGAACTCTGTATCTGGTGAGAGAATGCTCTCCTTCTCTCGTGCCAGTGGAGCAACTACAAAATTGGCAAAGTCAGCATGAAAAGTCTGATGAAATTATAAAACAAGGAAGAAAAGAAATCTAAGGTTCTTAATGATCATGCTATAAAATTTGAATATTTAAAGTCAGGAAATGTAGAGGATCTTTTTCCTAAAAACTTAAAAATTCTCTGTTGAACAATTTTTACTTTTGAGGGACGTACAATTTACCAAATTCTCAAAATACA